CTTATGCTGTTGTGTAGGCTATAGTGGGGTATCCCATAGGGGGTACAACCCAATTAGGGTTTCCTATATGTACTCACTTCAGTCATAGTTCATCCATTCACATTCTTCTTTCCACAGTGTCCTCGCTCCCAGGCTTCCTACTGCAAAGCCAGCACTAGTCGAGAGGGTGCACCGCGACCACCCACCGGTTTCTTCAAGCTCGGATTCCATCCGGGGTGAGCCTGCTGTGCCGGCTGCCGTCTCCGACACGGTGGTTCTCGACTCGCCAACAACAAAGTCCACTGGCCCGCGCAACTTCAAGCTCAAGCAGTCGACGCTGAGCTGGGCAAAACCTTCTTCGAGCACCGCCGTCGAGCAACCTGTCGCGAACAACACAGCCCCTCTTCCATCCTTGGTCATAGACATTTCAGAGGCCATCGAGGCAGTCTATGCAGACGCTCTTTTGAAGTACAAAACCAAGTGGTCTGAGAGGTTCCCGTGGCTTGTGCTAACCAAATCTAAATCTGGTTTCCCTGCTTTTAAGTGCAGTGTCTGCACCAAGCATGCCGGAGTCAGGGGGCGATGTGGCCGGACAGGGCGAGGGGCGACCGACGTGCAGACGCAGGCGTTTCGCAAGCACGCCGGCACGACGAAACACAGGCTGGCGATGGAGAAGCAAGAGGCTCTGCTGAACGCGGCCTCAAAGCAGCCACGGATCGACCAACGTCGAGCCGCCATCGATGCTGAGAAGAACCGCGTCGTGGCGTTGCTCGACTCCATGCTGTTCGTCAGTTCCTGCGATGCGCCAATGGGAACATGGGTGAAGCTGGTGCAGTACCTCGCGCGTAAGGGTGTCCAGGGCTACCCTAAGAAGGGATATGGCACCTACTACACAACGTGAGTAGTAGCCACATTTGTATTGCGTTGATGTTTTGATGTTCAACCCTAAACCCTCTTCTAATCTCTTGTCTTTGGTTTCCCTGCGTGTAGGTACGGCTTCGGTGAGCTCACGCAGGCCCTTGCTACCTGGCTACAGACAACTCAGCTGGAGCACATCCTGACAAGCCCTTTCATCGGCATCTGCATCGATGAAAGCACGGATCGACTCCGGGGGAAGCACATGATCTTGTATGCCTCGTTCATCCGCGACAACGTGCTCGTGACCGAGTTCATGCAGCTGATCACGGTGGAAAAGGCGGACGCTTCTTCACTTCTGAGCATCCTGCTTTCCCACTTGCAGTCCGTCGGTGTCGATCTACAGAGAATTTCTGGCATTAGCACCGACGGCGCAAGAGCGGCCTGGTTGTCCGCCTGCGACAGAAGATTCCGCACCTTGTCTCCGTTCACTGCATCGCTCACAGGTAAGTGAGCTCTGCTGCTACGTTTCCAGCCCGTTACGCCATGTGGTTCGAGCTCGTGTTTAACGTCTTGAGTTTGATGTTGTACTTGCAGGGAGGCACTTGCAGCGAAGGATGCAGCAGAGGAGCTCCCCGTCTTCGACATGGTCGACGATCTCATCCGGGCAGTGGCGGATTTGCTTGGTCGGTCGGGACCGCGCCACGCACGGTTCATGGACCTGCAGGTAGTCATCACCGAAACGAGCCTTGAAGTGCAAGGCATCCATTCCGTTCGGTGGTTGTCAAGGGGGGATGCCGTTCGTCGCCTTGTCGCTGTTTTGCCGGCAGTGATTGTGCTGCTGAAGGAGCTTAACAGCAAGATGTACAAACTGGCAAGCTCCTACCGTTTTCACTTCTTCCTTTACTTCCTGGCTGATGTGCTTGAGCAGCTCAACATTTTGAACAAGACCTTCCAGCAGAAACAGGTGAGGTGGTGCGAATATAGCTACGCATGTCCCCACATTAACCCTTTTAACTGTGTCACTGTGTGCCTCTGTCTGTCCAGCTCGATCTGGTGTCTTTGCATGCGCAGATCAAGCGGACAACGCGTCACATCGAGAGCCGCTACGTGGACTGCGGCGATGACTTCGGCGGCGGCATGAGCCAGTGGCTGTCACCTTTCCTGCTGCGCCATGGCCCGGGGTGTAGCCACGAAGTGAAGGTGGAAGGTGTCGACAGTGACGGCCGACCATCTTCTATCACGTTCACCCTTCACGACGAGCCCGTGGACTCGTACAGCGGCCCGGAGGACCACGACGGGTGCATCCAGTTGTGCACCGAGTTCGCAGAGAGGATCGTGGCGAACCTGGAGGGAAGGCTCGGTGATCTCGACTCCCTCTCTGGAGTCCGCCTGTTCACACCAGATGCATGGCCACAAAGCAAGTCTGAGCGGAACGCTCGTTGCCTGGAGTGGCTTCAGTCGCTGGTGACGATGTTCAAGGCTCAGGACCGTGAGGACATCTTGCCAGGTCTGTTGTGGCGCCTTTGTGAACCTTTGATATCGTATCCATGCTTGAAAATCCTTTGTGGTGCACCTGTTTGCTCATGTCATGTGCCTCATCTTAACCCTCCCTCCCTCCCACCAGGCATCAACAAGAGGCAGGCAGGCAAGGAGCTTCGCCTCTTCTGTTCAGTCCTTGCACGTGCCCCCAAGGAAGAGAGGGGCTTCCACAGCGGACTATCGGCGATCCTCAAGACGCCAGACTGGCGGGAGAGCTACCCCAATCTGGTGCAGCTCTGGGTGGCGGTGGCTGTGATTCCCCTCAGCACTGTGGAGTGCGAAAGGGGATTCACTCGGCAAAACGTGATCAAGACATGGCGGAGAAGGGGGATCAAGGACGCGAGGCTGGGGGACCTCATGTGTCTGTCCCTCATGCAGTACAAGCCCAACTACGATGAGGTAGTTGAGATCTGGCGGAGTTACAGAAAGCGCAAGCCTTTCAGCAATGCTCCCATTCGCACCCCAATCCCAGGCGAGAACAAGAAGGGCAAGCACGAGGAGGAGCCAGTAGATGTAGATGATGAGGAGGAGCCAGTAGATGTAGATGATGAGGAGGAGCCAGTAGGAGATGCAGGAGGTAGTTCTAGTGATGAAGATGAAATGAGCAGCTAGCTAATGTCATGTATGTGGTGTAGTGTTTCCCTGTTATGCCTGCTAAATTTAATGAAAAAAATGCTCAACATGGATCAGCCAGAGTGTATTAAGTGAGGCTGATTAGTCAGCGTTTTTTTTTTTTATACTTGTCTGAACTTTCAGTTTTTTTTTTACAACCAACTCTGATTGATCAGCTTAACGTTGGCTGCTAAGGCTGACGTATCAGCCAAGCCAAAAACGAATCTGAGGCCCTGCTTGAGCTGTCTTACTGCCCCACATCCGAGATGGCAGCAGATTACTTGACCAAGAAGCTCGGAAAGTCGAAGTTCGAATATTGCATGCTGCTGACTGGACAGAGCCACGTCACCTGCAGCGACACTCCAGAAGCGAAGGGGAGTGTTGGAAACAACTGATTTAAGCGCCTCTGTCGTGTCGAAACACCAAGACAGAAACGAAGCAGATCGTATCGAAACATCGGTGAGTCAACCCTCGGAGGTTGAATAACTGTTGGAGGTTACGCGAAAGTCAAAGGTCAGCGACCTTTGACCTGACGAAACGTACAGTGCGACAGCAAGGACATATAACTGATTCGTTACAGAACAGTTACCCAAGTCGGCACTGTATCGAACCGCAACAGCAAAAAACAGTTAAAATAGAACCCTTTCATATTCCTTGTAATCATATAAAAAGCTTGTATGTTTTTGTTATTATCAACTTACTTTGCCCTCACATACAAGCGCAAGGTGGTTCACAATCCTTTATTAAACGCTTCCGCTACTACATCATCCTACCCTTGAGTTCTGCCCTGCAAAGATCCTAAGGGCTTTTTCAGCCCAACAGTGGCCACTTGCTTGTGCTCAGACTGCGTGGTGATCTTGAAATCCACCATGAGCTTTGTTTTGTTTTGTTTATTTGCTTGACTGGTCTTGTGACCGTTGGTTGTTCTTGCTATCCCCCACTTTGCCTATGGAGGTGTGTCAAAATGCATTTATATGCCTGTACGCTGTAGTGTGGTAGCCCATATAGGGCCCAACCATTGCTGTTCTCATTCTAACAGATCCTTCGGACAATCAACTTTTGATCGCAACAATTTAGACTAAGATGCATCAGCAACATATCAAAGTTGGCCACAAGCCAGATATCAGAGATAGACATAAACAAAACCAGCAAGGGACAACAGACATGGCCACTGGCCAGGGAGACTCCACTAGTCGGAATTGACAACGTAAAGGCAGGCTCGTGACTCGTCAGAATAGGTAAGGTAATTCCAGGATTATGCAATGCAGCTTGAGCAAGGCAGACTGAGCAAGATAGCCCAAACTAGGAGCCCAAAAAAAGCTGAGGAAGGTGAAAAGGAAAGGGCGGATTTAGGATGGGTCGAAAGATGTGACATCCAGATGGTTGCTGAGGTTAGGCTTTGGTGCGCTGTGCTGTGATATGCTGTGCTGCGCTGTGATGTGATATGCTGTGCTGCGCTGTGATGTGATATGCTGTGCTGCGCTGTGCAGTGCAGTGCTGTGCAGTGCTATGCGGTGCTGTGTGGCCAACCAACCACTCCCCAAGTACGCTCCAGAAGCCATCCAGTAAGATGACCCCAAAATCTCTCTTTGAGGCATCTCCAATCAAAAGCTCTTAATAGGCTCTCTCATGTGTGCTGTGCAGCACACGTGAACTCAAGGCTGGAACGGTGACAGGTGCGCATGTCAGACCCGTTCCCCCCGCTTCCGTGTGTCTGACCCCCTCTTCCCCCCTTCCTCCGTGCGCCTGACCCCCTCCCCCCCCTTCCTCCCCAAGCTTTGATTTTCTAGTCGACAGAAAGCTCAGAATTTCTCTGGTGAAAGCAATCCGATAGGCTCCCTGCTGTGCGGCAGTTGCGGCTCAATGGGTGAACGAGTGAGAGGTGGGCGTTGAGGCGCCTCATAAATCAGCGGGCGTGTGGTATCAGAACCCCCCGCGAGCTTCCCTAGGAGTGTCGGGCACTTGCACAAAGGGGTGTTGTAATAGCTGCTCAGTGAATGGAAGGGCAGGAGTCAGAAGGAAGGGGGGGAACGAGGAGACTGAGGAATGTGGGAGGGAGACGTGGAGTTGATAAGTGGAAAGTGTATGTTCGCCTGGGTTACAGGCCTGGATGACAGGCCTGGGTGACAGGCAGGTGTGTGGAAAGTGGAAAGTGTAAGTTCAGAACCCCCCGGCAAGTGTCGGGCACTTGCACAAAGAGGCGTTGCAGTAGCAGCTGCTGAGGGGAAGGAGGGATATGAGTGGGAGGGGGCTGAGCAGAGACACTTACACAACCAGAGACATCCACACACACAGAACCACACAGACCCACACAGACCCACACAGACCCACACAGACCCACCCAACACACTTCAGACATCCCACCTCAGTGGCTGCGGGGCGCTGGGCGGGTTCAAGCTGGAATCAGGCGGTGAAAGAGTTGAGTTCCCTTCCCTTATCGCTGCACACTCATGGTCGAACAGAGCACACCCACCCACCTACAAACCTACACAAACCTGCAGACACCTACTCACCACACCACGCACACACATCCGCTCACCTCGGTGGCAGAGGGGCGCTCTGCAGGGTCGATCTTGAAGCAGGCAACGAGGAAGTCGCGGCCCTCCCACTGATGTGTGATGCAGCACACCCACTCGCACCCACACCCAGACACACCCACACCAACACACACCCAGACACACACACCCACACACCCATACACCCACACCCACACATCCACTCACATCGGTGGCAGAGGGGCGCTCTGCAGGGTCGAGCTTGAAGCAGGCAACGAGGAAGTCGCGGCCCTCGTCGCTGCACTCCTCAGGGATGGGCGGGCCCGTGGTGGTCTTGGCGATGTGGAATATGGCCGACCACGTGTTGTCCATGTTGGGCCATGGGTGGCTGGAGAGTTGGGGGAGGAGTAACGTATGTGAAAGTGGAGAATGGTTAGGTAAGAACGAGAGAAAGGAGAGCATGAGGGTGAGAGCAGCAGACAGCCACCCCCTGCCCAACCACTCCTCAGGGATGGGCGGACCCGTGGTGGTCTCGGTGATGTGGAATATAGCCGACCACGTGTTGTCCATGTTGGGCCATGGGTGGCTGGAGGGGGGATAAATGGGAGGGGGAGGGGGGAGGGTGGAGGGGGGAGGGGGGAGGGGGGGAGGGGAGAGGGGGGAGCAGGGAGAGGGGACGGCAAGGTTTAGCATGGAAGAAGGAGCAGAGAGAGCAAGACCAGGTGGTGGTCTTGGCGATGTGGAATATGGCCGACCACGTGTTGTCCATGTTGGGCCATGGGTGGCTGGGGAGTGGGGGAGGGGGGTTTGGTTGGGTGAGAGAGAGGGTGGGAGGTAGGAGATGCGGACAGGCCGGGAGCAGGGAGAAAGGTCAAGAGGTGGTCTTGGCGATGTGGCATATGGCTGACCATGTGTTGTCCATGTTGGGCCATGGGTGGCTGGAGAGAGGGGGAGGGGTTGGGGGAAAGGGGTTGGTTGGGTGACAGAGAGAGGGGAGCATGAGGGCAGGAGCTGGGCGCAGGGTCAAATGGTGGTCTTTGCAATGTGACAGCCGGCTGACCACATGTTGTGCATGTTGGGCCATGGGTGGCAGGAGGGGGAAAGGAGTGAAAGGGGAGGTGGGTTAGTTGGGTCACAGGGAGGGCAAGAGAGAAACCCTAACCCTAAAGCATAAACCCTAGGTGCTAATCCTGAGCCAGCCCTCACCTCATCTCAATGACGGTGCAGCCGAGCCGAGGATCCAGATGTCACACAGCTGCACCCAGTCTCACTCCCCCAACTACCAACCTCACCCAACCTCAACCAACTACACCCAGCTACACTGCCCTCACCTCACCTGCCAATGCCCCCACCTCACCTGCCAATGCGCATCTCAATGACGGTGCAGCCCACGCTCCAGGCGTCACCCAACCACACCCAACCAGAACCGATTACATCCACCCCCCCACTTCACCTGCCAGTGAGCATCTCAATGACAGTGCACCCAAGGCTCCAGATGTCGCCCAACCACACCCAACCAAACCCAACCACACCCAACCACAAGCCACACACTCTCACCTGCCAGTGAGCATTTCAATGACGGTGCACCCCAAGGCTCCAGATGTCAGCGCGGCGGCCGTACCCCTCCCCCTTGATCACCTCTGCACCCAAGGCTCCAGATGCCACCCACCCAGCTACACCCATCTACACCCAGCTACACTGCTCTCACCTGCCAGTGAGCATTTCAATAACGGTGCAGCCAAGGCTCCAGATGTCAGCGCGGCGGCCATACCCCTCCCCCTTGATCACCTCGGGCGCCATCCAGAACACCGACCCTCGGATGCTCTTGCATCCCTCGCCCACCGTGCCCTCGTGAAACGCCTGGGGGGGGGGTACGAAGGGGGAAGTGGGAAGGCAGGGGAGGGGAAATAAGTGGGCAGGAGTGGGAAAGGCGTGGCGGCCGTACCCCTCCCCCTTGATGACCTCTGGTGCCATCCAGAACACCGACCCTCAGATCGACTTGCACCCCTCGCCCACCGTGCCCTCATGGAATGCCTGAGAAGCATGGGGAGCAGGGGGGGGGAACCGGGAAGGAAGAGGGGAGGGAGGGGGAGAGGAGGGAGGGGATGTGACTGGAATTAGAGTTGGGAGAAGTATGCTGTTACACCCATGTTTTTGACAAGCATGGTGTTACACCCATGTTTTTGAGAATTCTCAACAACACTCTGCAGCATTAGAGTAAGCAGCCGTGCAGATACTCCAGCCCCAGCAGCAGCAGCACACACCATCCCACTCGCCCCAACCCGCATTCGTCCCACCACCCACTCGCTCCGCCTCCCCTCCCATTGTCGCTGCCCATCCTTCGAGGCTCACCTTAGAGGCACCAAAGTCAGCAAGCTTGATGACCCCATCTCGATCGACGAGCACGTTGCCACCCTTGATGTCCCGATGGATGATCTTACACCCGTGCAGATACTCCAGCCCCAGCAGCAGCTGCCTCGTGTAGACTCGCACTAGGGACTCACTGAACTTGCCAAACTTGTCCAACATGCTGTTGGGGGGGCGGGGGAGAGGGGGGGAGGGGGGAGGGGGGAGGGAGGCAGTGGCGGCAAAGAGGGAGAAGGGCATCATGTCATAGTCCAGTACACCCGTGCAGATACTCCAGCCCCAGCAGCAGCTGCCTCGAGTACACGCGCACTAGGGACTCGCTGAACTTGCCAAACTTGTCCAGCATGCTCTATGTGTGTGTGGGGGGGGGGGGGGGGGGGAGGAAGGAGGCAGGGGGAGGAAAGAGGGAGAAGGGCATCATGTTACAGTTCAGTAACATGATGCTGCTGTACAGCCGTGTTGGTATTCCAGCAGCAGCAGCAGCAGCAGCTGTCGCGTGTACACGCGCACGACAAGCGACTCGCTCGTGCTGCCTTCTAGGAGCACCAAGGCGGCGGAACGAAGCAAAATAATCCGTCTTCTCTCCATATCCTCCCGTCTCTCGCAACACTGATTCCGCCACTTAACTTGAACCACCCCGTCCCCCTGAACCCCACCTGTGAATCGAGCCCCCAGAGATGAATTCGAGGAAGATGTAGAGCGACCCGTCACTGTCATCCTCCCTAAACCCTCCTCCCCTCTCCCCTTCCCCTCTCCCTCCGCTCCCACTCCTCACCTGTGAATCGACCCCCCCGAGATGAACTCCAGGAAGATGTAGAGCGACCCGGCGCTGTCATCCTTCTCCATGTCAATGTATGCCACGATGTGCCGGTACCGCATGTGCCGCTACAGCACAACCCCCCCCTCTCTCCTCTCCTCAACCTCACCTGTGGATAGACTCGCCTCTCTTGCCCCGTTCCCCCCTCCCCCCACCCCCTTCCCCCCCTCCGCACCTGTGAATCGAGCCTCCAGAGATGAACTCCAGGAAGATGTAGAGCGACCCATCGCTGTCATCCTTCTCCATGTCGATGTATGCCACGATGTGGCGGTGCCGCATCTGGCGGTACAGCACTATCTCCTGCTCCAGGGCCGCTATGTGCATCGCCTTCTCGTCGCCCGCTGACGTCATCTTGATCTGCTTCACCGCCATCAGCTCTCCCGTCATCTCATTGAGGCCCAGGAACACCTGGAGTGGTTTAGAGGTGGTGCGGTGAAGTGCGGTCGAGTGGGGTGGAATGGGGTGGAACGGGGTGGAATGCGATGGAGTGCGGTGGAGTGCGGTGGAGAGGGATGGGGAGGGGTGGGAAGGTTAGCGGTGCCGCATCTGGCGGTGCAGCACTGTCTCCTGCTCCAGGGCCGCTATGTGCATCGCCTTCTCGTCGCCCGCTGACGTCATCTTGATCTGTTTCACCGCCATCAGCTCTCCCGTCATCTCATTCAGACCCAGGAACACCTGGAGGAGTGCTAAGTTGGAATATACGTTCGGCTTGCAAGGCGTATTGCGTTTGTGCGCTAGCGTATAGACTCAAAAACCCGATATGCTTGGAATACGCTAAGATTTCGGGCGGGCAGCCCATCGAAAAAAAAAACCTAAACACGGGAATTGCGAGTTTACGATGCGGAGCGAAGGGTTGGATGTCGCGAACTCAATCCGGGTTCCCAAATTTCGATTTCGGAAATTTGAGCATACCTCTCAGATCCAACCCATCCATCCACACCAAAATTCCACGCACTCAACGCAGGCACATATTCAAGGTGAGCTCCACCCAACCTACCTGTTCTTCATTTCCGTAGTCGACTCTCACACATCGCTTTTTATAACTTGCGCTAAGCTTCGTAACACCTGCAGTCATGTCTACTGGCTTAAGCGCTCCTGCGAGTCCGAGTAGGTTGCGACCGCGGAAGGTTCCACCGCGTTGGCGTTTTCAACCAACTATCGCGCTCCTATCTGCCAAATCCCCCCTCTCCAAAAACTTTGCGCGGGAAAAAATCTTGGGCGCATAGCACCCCCTCCTCCTCCCCTCTCCAGAAATCGGTATTTTACCCTGCCCGGAAAGTTTTTTACCCTGCCCGCCCTTCCGTATTTCAAGCGTATCTCAACACCCTCCCTGGACGTATCGCGTATTATACTCTCGCGTATGTACGCATGCGTACAAAACGCGAAACGCGTTTTTTCCAACTTAGGAGGAGTGCAGTGCGGTGGAGAGGAGTGGAGTGCGGTGGAATGGGATAAGTGGGGTGGAATGCAGTAGATTGCAGTGGAGTGCGGTGTAGTGGGGTGGAGTGGGGGGAGGGGATGTGGTGCCGCATCTGGCGGTACGGTACTGCACTATCTCCTGCTCCCACCCAGCCCCTCTCTGTGAATCGCTTTCTCCTTGCCCACTGAGGAACAGTGAGAAGTCGATCGAGTCAGCTCACACACCCATGCACAACACCCCTCAGCTCACACACCCATGCACAACACCCCTCAGCTGACACACCCATGCACAACACCCCTCAGCTGACTTTCAGCTGTCTTGCAAAAACATAAGACTGGGGATCACACTCACAATGACACTCAGGATGACAGCCACAGTGACACTGAGAATGACCCCCACAATGACACTCAGATTGACACACACCTTGCCATACGCCCCCTCTCCCAGCAGCTCGCCCCGTTTCCACTTCATCGTGCCCAGTGGGGCCATCGGCTCATCTCCCATCAACTCCTTACTCTTCCCTCCCCCTGCTGCTGCCGGTGATGACTTCTCCTCCTCACTCCCCTCCTTCTTACCTCCTTCCTTCTTCTCCCCCTCCTTCTCTCCTTCCTTCTCTTTCTGAACTTCCCCTCCGTCCTTCTTCTCCCCGTCCCCTGCCTTCTTCGCACCCCCACCAGCAGCATCATCCCGGTTATTGGGGTTGGTGGGGCAGTCACACTGCAACTCCCCACACGCCACACACCCGCCCCTGGCTGCAGCATCCCTCCAGTCGGGCCGAATAAGCTTCAAATCTTCCTCAGATATCTGCTCAGGTGCAGGGGTGCTTGCTCCCGTGCTGCCACCGCCACTGCCACTGGCACTCGCACCAGCATTAGCATTAGTACTGGCACTGGCACTGGCACTGGCACTGGCACTGGCACTGGCACTGCCTGCTGCTGCGCCTGCGGCTGCTCGTCTGTTACTAGGCGACACAGGCACCTGCCCTCCTCCCTTCTTCTCCTCCTCCTTCCCACCGCCGCCCTTCCTCTCCTCCCCTCCACTCTCCCCCTCCTTCTTCTTCTCCCCCTCCCCCTCCTTCTCCTTCTTCTCCCCCTCCCCCTCCCCCTCCCCCTCCGTCGGCAGTGCAAACTTTACCGATTTCCTCTCCCGCGCCCCCTTGGGCGTCATCCGCCCGCTCCCCCCTCCCCCTCCCCCTCCGCGCCCCTCCTCATGCCCAGTCCCCCCTCTAAGCGGGCTCCTAGCCCGCCCTCCCCCACTCCCCCCCGCTCCCCCTCCCCCACTGGGAGTGAGCGGTTTCTTCTGTGCAGCGCCCCCCTCGTCCTCAAACCCAGCAGGCTCGCCAACCCGCAGAGAGGCGGGACGCCTGGCAGAGTCGCTTCCAGAGGGGGACCGAGACGCAGCCACTGAACCCCCTCCGCTTGCGCCTGCCCCTGCGCCCCCACCAGTGCCAGAAGCGCCACCTGATGCTGCTCCGCCAGTACCTGCTGCACCTCCTGCTGCTCCTGCTGCTCTGTTGGGAAGCCGCCTGCCAGTGTCGCTGTCACTGTCCCCGTGCCTCCCGCCCTCCCCATCCCGATCCTCTGCTGCCGCCGCAGATGCAGCGGACGCAGAGGCAGCAACACGAGGCAGCCTCCCGCTGTGCCCCTCCGCCCCCCCCACCCCACCCCCTCCTCCCTCCAGCATCGCAGCACCATTCCACGATGCATACATGTTCTCCCTCCCCCCGCGCCCCCCCGGCCCCCCCACATGCTGCCGCCTCTCCCCGCCCATCCCCGCCCCGCCTCGCGCAACCCCGCCCTCCTCCCGCTCATCATCCGAACTCGTCCTCCCGCCACCACCCGCCACATCCCCTGCGCGGCCCCCTCTCCCCCCATACGGATTTCCAAACACATCAACCACACCCCTCGCCCCTCCCCCACCCGATTTCCCGTCCAAAGACCCCCGCCTATTCCCCCCCCCACCCCCCAAGTCCAACCTCCCCATGCTAGCCGAATCCACACTGTCATAGGGGGACCTTCCCCGCATGCCCCCTCTCCCAGGCGTCCCAGGCCCACCGCCCCCAGGTCCTCCGCCCCCAGTTCCCCCGGCTCCGCCCGCCCCTCCCCCTCCGCCCGCAGCTGCCTGTCCCACAAGGCGCTCTGCTCGGAAATCAGCGAAGTTGCGCGGGCGGGGCTGGGCGGCCAGACGCGACCGGTCTGTTGTGATGGCCGCGCCTGCTGTGTTGAAGGTTGGGGGGGGGATCGGGGGGGGGAGCAGGTAGTTTGATCAAGGACAAGGGTGCAGAGCACAAGGCCAAGTTGTGCGGGCGGGGCTGGGCAGCCAGGCGTGAGCGGTCCGTTGTGATGGCCACGCCTGGTGTATTAGAAGTGGAGGGAGAGAGGAGAGAGGGAAGGGGTTGAAGGCAAGGGGGTTTTGGGAGAGAGGGGCTGTGGTCAGGGGCGCAAGGGGATGCAGGTGTGGAACACAAAGGGATCAGCTGCGCGGGCAGGGCTGGGCCACACGTGACCGGTCTGTAATGGCTGCACTGCACCTGCTGCATTGGAAGTGGAGAGGCAGGGGGGGGAGAGAGAGAGCCGAGCAGGGGGGGTAACGGGAGCAGAGAGAAAAGAGGGGCAGCAGGGGAAGCAGAGAGGCAGCAGGGGGTACTGAACGACATTGCACCTGCGGTGTGCCGGCGGGCGCCAAAGCTGCCAGCTTCAGCGTCAGAGAGGCTGCTGTCGTTGGCCTGCACGATGCGCCTCGCGTACTGCTGCCCGCCCGACTCCACCGACAGCCAAGGGGGCAGCAGAGGCCGCAGGGGAAGCAGAGAGCGCAGAGTGCGCAAAGCAGGGGGAACAGCAGGAGCAGAGAGAAAAGATAGGCAGCAAGGGGAGCAGTGAGGAAGCTTACCTGCAGTGTGCCGGCGGGCGCCAAAGCTGCCTTGTTCAGCATCGGAGAGGCTGCTGTCGTTGGCCTGCACGATGCGCCTCGCGTACTGCTGCCCACCCGACTCCACCGACAGCGTCCGCGAGTCCCGGATGTGCCTCCGCGCCAACGACGCCGCCGGTCCCGCCGCCGCCACTCCCCCCGCTCCCCCCCCCCCTGCCCCTCCCCCTGTCCCTCCCGGCCCCATGTGCTCGTCCTTCCCCGCACCGCCACCACCCCCTCCTGCTCCTCCGCCTCCCCCTGCTGCTCCCCCCGGGCCCGGCCAGGCGAAAGCCGGCGAGTCATCATCACGGTCGTTCTCCCACGCCTGGAGAAAGATCTGCTCGTTACTATCCAGCAAATCACGCGGGCTCTCCACGTCAGCGTGGTCCCCACCATCCCCACCCACTCCTCCTCCGCCTCCGCCTCCCCCACCGCCTCCCCTTGACCGTGCATGAGGCTGGGACAGCCAATCGTCCTCTCGAGTGATTGCTCGCTCCACAGCAGAGCGGCTGCCTGCGCCACCCCGCCCCGCTGCCGGCCCCTGCCGCCCGGGCGGCTGCTGCGCGCTGCCGCCGCCGCCCAGGCGCGTGCGGGCGGCGAGGGCGCGAGGGGAGATGAGCTGCTGAACTGCCGACCCGTTGGGGACTGGGGGGAGGGGCAGAGGGGAGACAGGGAGATAGAGGTACAGGGGGGAGGGTGGGGGGAAAGGGGGACAGGGGGGCAGTGGGAGCAGGGGGGGTAGTGGGGCAGTGGGAGGGTTGAAAGGTCCGGGGAAGAAGGGGAAGGGACAGGAGGGACAGGTGAGGGAGTAGAGGCTGTGGGGTGAAAGGGGACAGGGGAGCAGGGGGAAGCAATGAGCAGGTTGAAAGAGTGGATAAGATCTTAGGAGGTGGTCAGCCGGTCAGAGGAAAGTGAAACGACTTGTGAGGCATAAAAAAGGTCGAGTAAACAGATATGGTGTGGTGTGGTGTGGTGATAAGGTAGATACAGGGCGAAGGGAAGCGAGTGGAGCACGGGGAGGGCGGGAAGTGGAGAGAGGAGAGCACAAAAGATTGCATTCAAGCATATGTCCATCCACCACCGCTCCCCCACCCACATACCCTCCTTACCACACACACACATTCCTACCACCACCCCACTTATGCACATACCCCCATCACCCCACCCACACACCCCATCACCCACACATCCCATCACCCACACACCCCATCACCCACACACCCCATCACCCACACACCCCATCACCCACGCACACCCCATCAACCACACACCCCCATCCCACGCACCCCATCACCCACACGCGCTCACCTTCGTCATCCCACCCATCATCCACCATCCCGCCCACATCCCGCATGCTCATCCTTCCCCACGCCCCACCAAGATCCTCTCCCCCACAAACCCATCAATCACCCCACCCACACCCCCCATCACCCGCGCGCTCACCTTCATCTTCCCACCCGTCATCCACCATCCCGCCCACATCCCGCGGGCTCATCCTTCCAGACGTCCCAGGGGAGATCGGGGGCGACCCTCTCAACCCCCCCCTTACCCCTCCCCCTCCGCCCGCGCCCCCTCCGCCCGCCCCCGCGCCCTCCCCATCGCCCACGAGCCCGTGGCGCTGGTGGTATTCGTGCAGCTTGCGGAAGAGCGTGCGGATGCGGTCCGTTGAGGCCAGCTGCTGTGGGTACAGCCCGTCGCGATTGCGCGCATACATGTTGGCGCCTGCTACTAGCAGCAGCTTGATTATGCCCCTGGGGGAAGGGGGGGGGGGGGTGGGGGGAGGGGGGGAGGGGGGGAAGAGGGTTGTGGGGGGTGGGAAGGATGGGCGGGGGCGAAAGAGAGAGGCCTTGGGGGGTAAGGTTCAATGGGCCGGCCCGTATATGATGTTTCGCACGTATACGTTGTACCACATTCTCAATGCACCTGTCCGTCACACCACACTCCCAACAACACACCTGTGCCTCATGATCGCACTTGAGCCTGACGACACACTCTCACGACTGTACCTGTGCCCAGCAGTGCACGCATAGTGCAGCGCGGTGTACTGCTTGGCGTCTTGAGACGTCTCAAAACATTTCTTCAATCAGCGCGGTGTACTGCTTGGCGTCCTGTGCGTTGATGGCCCAGAGGCCATCAGCAACACAGCAACCTGCGCCTCATGACCGCACCTGTACCTGGCAACACCTCACCACCAGTACTTGAGGCCCACATTTATTCATGACTGTACCTGTGGCCGGCAGCACAGGCGTAGTGCAGCGCGGTGTACTGCTTGGCGTCCTGTGCGTTGATGTCCGCCCCGTGCGACAGCAGCAGCGTGACCATCTTATCGTTGCCCGTCTGCACCGCGTACATGATGGGCGGCATCTGTGTGAAGGGGAAGGAAGGGGAGGGGAGGGGAGGGGAGGGGAGGGGAGGGGAGGGGAGGGGAGGGGAGGGGAGGGGAGGGGAGGGAAGGGGCGAGGGGAGAGCAGCAGTGAGGGCAAAAGGAGGGGAGTCAGCAACAAGCAGCGTGACCATCTTATCGTTGCCCGTCTGCACCGCGTACATGATGGGCGGCATCTGTGTGGAGGGGAAGGAAGGGGAGGGAGCGGAGCGAGGGGAGGGGAGTGACGGAAGGGAAGGGCGATGGGAGAGAAGCAGTGGGGGCCACAGGAGGGGAGCGAGCAACATGCAGCGTGACCATCTTGTTGTTACCCATCTGCACCGCATACATGATGGGCGGCATCTGTGCGTAAGAAAGAGGGAAGGAGAAAGAGGGGGATGGGAGGGGTGAGTGGGGTTAGGGGGGAGGGGAATGGAGGAGGGGGTTGAGGGGCGGGAAGCATGAGCAGCAGAGAGGACCAAAGGGGGGGAGTGTGCGACAGCAACAGTGAAACCAATTCTCATGCTGCACTCATGGCGCCCTCCCACTGCCCACCGTCTCACCTGCGCGGACTGCCCGCCGTCAGGATCAGCGCCCCACTCTAGAAGCGCCCCCGCCGCCTCCGTGCTGGACGCCACCACCGCCTCGTGCAGCGCTGTGCGCTGAGAGGCTGGAGGACGGGGGTGGTGGGGAGTGGGGGAGAAGGTGGGGAGCGGGGGAGAAGGTGGGGAGCGGGGGAGAAGGTGGGGAGCGGGGGAGAAGGTGGGGAGCGGGGGAGAAGGTGGGGAGCGGGGGAGAAGGTGGGGAGCGGGGGAGAAGGTGGGGAGCGGGGGAGAAGGTGGGGAGGGGGAGAGAAGGTGGGGAGCGGGGGAGAAGGTGGGGAGGGGGAGAGAAGGTGGGGAGCGCGGTAGAAGGTGGGGGTGAGTGGTGTGGGGGAGTAGCACAGAAAGAGCCCCTCCGTGCTGCACGCCACCACCGCCTCGTGCAGCGCCGTGCGCTGAGAGGCTGCTTGGGAGGAGAGGGGGGGGAAGGGGGGTTCGGGGTAAGACGGGTGAGCCTCCGTGCTAAGAAGGAACGGGGAAGCAGCGGAGTAAGAGCGCGACTGTGGTGCACGCCACGCCAATACCGCATAGTGCAGGGCTGTGCGCTGGGAGGCTGAGAAAAGGAAGGGTGCGAAGGGGTTGGGGAGGGTTTGAGGGGGCTTGAGCGGGAGAGGAGAAGAGCAGTGACAGCGGGTTTCACATGCACCCCGCCTCGTGCAGGTGCAACCCCTAGCTTGCCGATCACCAGCTTCTACAGAGAGAGGGGTTGGGGGGAGAAAACGAAGAGGGGTTGGGTGGGTGAGGGACGGGGGGGAGGAAGAGGAGGAGGGGGGTGGTTGTGTAAAAGTCGCCTTGAGCAGTGGTGTGTGCATCAATGTTCTTTGATGAGTGGATTCTGACAGAGAAAAAAACTTTTACCTGAACTAAACGAACACAGATATACCTGGACAGCCACAGATACACCTGGACGGGTTCTACCTGGATAAACAGTGTTAAGCAGGGCGGTGCGGGACGGCGCCTCCTGCAGGACCACGTTGACCAGATCAACGTCGTTCTCCCGCACCGCCTCCATCAGCTCCGCCACCCGCCGCATGTGCTCCGCCTCCCCCCGCGACGCCTGAAAGCTTCCCCCGATGCCTCCGCCTCCGGGGCCCCCGCCTGGCCCCCCTGCGCGGACAGCGGCGCCGCTGGGCTGCGCGGAGGGCGTGGCGACCTTTACCATGCGGCGGGGACTCAGCGAATCCTGAAGCGCGCAAGGACGGGCGCAAGGCGGAGGGTTTGGCGGAAAAGAAGGGGAGGGAAGGGGGGAGACGGGAAGAGAATTATTAGGCGCAAGGTGGAGGGTATAGGCGGAGGGCGGGGAGTGGGCGGCCAGGCGAACGGGGAGAGGGAGGCCCGGGTGAAAACGAGGCGGATGGGGGGTGGGGGGTTGGGGGAGAGATGGGGGGCGGAAGGACTGAGAATGGGAGCAACATAAGGCAAGCTAGGGGTTGCACCTGCGTATCCTAAAATACAGCGTCCCACCCGTAACAAGCGGCGCAAATTAGGGTACGCGCAGTCACGATTGGCCGATCAAGACAGCGAGGCAGAGAGCTATGTCGAAACGACTTTTGGGTGGACTCAAAAGGCATTTGAGTTGAACGGAAAAGACAGCAGGACCGTGTCGAAGGCTAACAGAAGGCTAACAGCTTGCTGGCTCTAAGTAACGGAAACACACGGCGCGGCTGCAATGGCGAAAAGCAGAACCGTGTGACTTGAAGAGTCCCGACTTGAAGAAACGCACGCACACCCATGTGCTGGAGAAGAAGGCGAAGGGGAGATGGGCGAGATAAGAGGAGTGATAAAGACGCAAAGCTATTCTGCGTGTTATAGGTTACAGCGAGAGGAGCCCACGAGAGGAACGGCCGAGTTCATTCTCACGCGGTCAACATGGCGACGCTACTCTGGCGGGTATCGCGGCATTTCAAGCAAACAATGACTGGCTGATGAGACCGACAGAAAACCCATGACAGGCCGGTGATAGGGAACGCCGCGTACGAAACGCGAAAAGGCAAGGAGACGCGCACATGTAAGCGAGCGGGGAGTCTGATATCAACCAGCAATCACTTCAAGACATTTAACATACTCAGCATAATTATCCCCGGATAACCTAATTGTATGTGAAATTGTGATAAAAAGAAACAGAACCTTCCCGACAACTGACCGACCTTCCCGCCTGCCTTAATCATAACGACGCCTGCTTTCGAGTCGCCACAGACACGAGCCTTTCCACGCGCGCCAGCGACTGACCTTCCTGCCGGCCTTGATCATATCGGCGTCCAGGCGAAGCGCGGCCGGCCGGCCGTACCCCGCCTCGTTGGAGCTCGCCGCCCGCCGCGGCTGAAGGTCCCCCGCGTGCTCCGCCCGGCCTCCTCGCTCCCCCGACTCCCCCGAGTGGCTCTCCGACCGCCCATGAATGGCATTGCGCAGCGGCGACGTGTTTCCGTGATATCCGCCGCCTCCCCCGCCGCCACCCCCGGCGGGGATCGTTATTCTCCTCTGGCCGCCGCCTCGGTTGTCTGCGAAGTCGTCGCCTTCGGTAAGCTGATGGCCTTCTTGCACCGTGCGAATCGGCGTGCGACCGGCTGGCCGTCGCACATGTTCGCCCGCTCGGCCGGGTGCGACTCCCGCGTTGGTCGGGGAGATTAGGTCCTCTGGGTATTGGATTCCCCGAGGAGCGGACACGTAAGCAGGACCGCGGTTTCGCGGAAAGTGGCCCTGCGGACTCAAGTCTCCGTCAGTTACGACTCGAGACATCGCGGCTCGATTATAACTTAGCTTCAACTACCACGGTTCCAGCATCTGCATCCTATATATCGTAGCACAACGGCGACTATGTATCCAATAATTTTAGTCGTACGATAACACTTACGCCTTACGATAAATATTACTCGCCAGCTAAGCAATAACGTAGCGTCAGGCGCGAACGGATGGATGGTTCCATAACTAACAACCAAGCCGACACTATTCCACACAACTGACAACCGGAAAACATAAAGACACCCAACGTCTTATCCAATCATAATGGCGGCTCCACGTGCCAATCTCGGGACTAGGTGCGTGGAGTGGATGGGGTTCTGTTGTAGTAGTGTAGGGGAGGCTCGAAGATGTGGTTGAGGTGGGTGGGACCGTGGGTGGGTTAGGGATGGAGGGATGGAGGGATGGAGGCATGGAGAGATGGAGGGATGGAGGTATGGAGGGATGGAGGGATGGAGGTATGGAGGGATGGAGGGATGGAGGCATGGAGGAACAGAGAAACGGGGACTGGGGAGGGAAGGAGAGTGTGGTTGGAGGGGGGGATGAGCCCAAGGTCAGTATGAAGAGAGTGCAACCAAGCATCAGGTGACGTTAGGCCATCCTCGGAAAACAAACGGGCGGTAGTTAGAACATCTGCGGGACTAATGCTTAAAGCCCGAGTCTAGAATGGCTACTCTTCAAGTTCAAGATTCTTGAACTAGAATTCGCTACGGAACCAGGTAACCCGGTTTGGAACACCCTTCTCTCGCAGCCCCCGAAGGGGTGATTGGAGCCCTTGTTTTTGATTGGCTGAAACTACACAGCCACAACAGTCACAGCCATCGCCAGGAAAACACAAAACAGGAACTACTGTTCATACTTTCGGAAACTTGAAGCTCGGGACTACCTTTCTAGACTCCATGGTAGTGGGCTCCTTAGCCCTCAGAATCGGCTTTATCCCGTAAATGATTAGGCAAACACCTGTCACTCGACTACGAATCTTACGGTCAACGGAAGCATTACTCACTCCCTTCACTCCTGTCACTCGTAATCCTGACTCGCACATGCTGTTCGCACATAATGTTAGCGCAAACGTCCACAAGGTGGCTACATCTCGGCTTTCTAAGACATCGCTCACCTGTTCCCTTTTAGGATTCGAGCAGATTACACGCTCAAACCTGTCACTCACACGCTCCCCACTTCTCACAATACATGTATTTCCGTTTGTCTACGTCGCTCTGGTCGCTCCACGACCTCCCAGTCCTTGGCCAAAACTTCAACCGCTCTTAGCGCTCGCCTCCCTCACGTCGCCTTTTAGGTGGCGCTCCCTTCCCGCGCCCGTCGCCCACGCTTACTTCTAGTGTCGCCCACGCTCTCCCATCCCGTCGCTCGCCGCTTTCCCTTCACTTCGCAAAAACTATTCCTTCCGTTCGCCCACGCGATTCCTTACTGAAGCCCTCGCCTAGCCTTCCCGTCGCCCTCGCAAGTCCTTTCCTAGCAATCGTAGATCGTGCTCGTCGCCCACGACCCTCGGATCAGACTCCCTCGTAACCTCCCTTCCTTCCCTCCATTCGCCTCCTTTTACCCCTCTCCCGTCCCCCACAGGACAACTCCCATCCATCCCTTTCCCCTCGCGCAGGTTCGCGATCATCGCTCCGCCCTCCCGTCCCTCATGTCGCCTCCGTCCCGCATTTCCTCTCGTGTTTCTCTTCCCTCCCGTCCCTCTCGACCTTCTCCGCCGCTCGCCTCAGCCCCACATTCGCATCGCTCACTCGATCCCTCCGCGCACTCCCTCACGTCGCTCGCTCAAACCCACCGCTCACAAAGGTTTGTCACCTCATCGGTTCCGTCGCTCACACACCCACGTTTGACACACCCGTTCTGCACACTCCCCCGTCGCACACTCACTTCGTCGCTCAAGAACTCCCGTCCCGCAAGGTTTGATCCTGTCGCTCTCGTTACCCGTTGTGGTCCGTCCATGTTCGTCACGCGCCCGTCTTCGTCGCTCCCATTGTTCGCTCACCCCCCTCCCCTCTTCCTCCCTTCTTCCCCTCCATACCCTGCCATGCGCCAACTTCTCCGCACCAATCTCCGCGTGCCTGCTGCGCGTAACGGTGCTGCAGATCCGGCTGGCGCTGATGATCGAGGTACCACGCGAGGCGGTTCGGCGGCCGCAGATGGGCATGGCGGGTGCTCTCACTACGATTCTGCCGACGCCTTCCTAGAGGTGCGGACGATGGGCGGGGGGGAAGGGAGATGTGGGGGAGTGGAACGAGAGGGTTGTGAGAGGGCTGGTAGTGGGCTGGGAGAGGGCTGAAAGAGGGCTGGGAGAGGGGAGGGGGGGAAAAGGGCGGGGAAGGGGGGGTAGAGGGAGGGGGGGGTGGGGGGGGGGAAGGGATGGAGGGGAAGTCATACACAACGAAATTGGGTTCTTTTGCGACGAGATTGCAAATTCATTCCTCGATAATCCGGGGAAGATGGGAGGAGCGAGCGGGAATAATCGCATGGAGGGGGGGTGGGGAGGGGGAGGAGGAAGGTGGAGGGAGGGGAGAAGGGGGGGGAGGGAATGGGGAGCTTGGTTGGTGATGAATGTGTGAGGGTTTCACAGCGAGAGGAAATGTGTGGTGACGGGGATTGCTAGTAGTTTTACCTTTTTCAAGTTTCAACCCCTCTCTCTTCTCCATCCCCGCGCCACCCATGTGACATTGATCACAACAATGTGTGCACACATTGTGCACAATCCTCTCCCCTTGGCCTCCCCGCCTCTTCCCCTCTGCGCCATCCCCGCCCTTTACCTCCCTCTCCTTTCTCCCCTCCCCCCTTCCCCTTCTTCCCCCCTACAGCCTGTAGGTGTGCGAGCAAGTGTGCCTGTATACCGCTGGTGCTGTACAAGCCAGTGTTGAATCGTCTCAATCCATCCCCACACTTTCCCCTCTGTACCATCCCTGCCATTCCTGTCTGTGCCACCCATCCCCTGAGAGTGCTGCAGGTGCGCGAGGGCATTATGCCAGCATACGGCATGGTTCTGCGGAAGCTTGACCTCCCATGTGACGTCTCATAACAGCCCCTCTCCACTTCCCCGCACTCATCTCTTCCCCTGCTGCAGGTGTGAGAGGACTTCCACCCCTCTCCAACACCCCTCTCCTTCACCCCTAAACTCTCTCACCCTCTCACACCTATCGCTCACTCACACCCATCACTCACTCACACCCATCACTCTCTCCTCTCATCACGTACTCATGCTTCCCACTCTTCCACTCCCCACCCTCCCAGCCACACGTCCTCCTTCCTAACTTGCCCTTCTTCTCCCCACCAGTGCCTCCCTTCCCTCCGTCTCACTTCGCCTTTTCCCTCGTTTTTCCCCCCGTCCCTCACAGTGCAGCCTGTCTCGTGCCTTCACTCTCAGCCCATCTCTCCCCGTCCTTTTCTACCCATAATCTCATTTCCGCCTCTGCCATCTTTTCCTACTCGCCACCCTCCCTTCCCCCCCCTTCCGTATGCGCTGTTTCTCCCGACTCTCACCCGTGCTGCTCCCACTTACCTCCTCGCCTCGTGTTTATCACTTCCCCCCTCACACGCCCCTTGTAATCTCTTGATAAACCCTACCCCTTCGCTCCCTTCCCTTCCTCTCTTCTCGTCCCTGCCCTCCCTTGTCCTCTACTACCTTCCCGCCCATCTCCACTCATCCCTTCCCTCTATGCCCCTGTCCGCTCCCCCGTTTCTCATTCCAGGGATTTTCAAACTGTGCCCCTGACTCGCGTCTCACAGAATGCATGTGCAGCACCAACACTCACCGTGCGTGAGTGTGATCCTGCAGAATGATAACGGGCATGACATGGATTTGGCGAGCTCGTTTAGGGATCATGGACTTGACACTGCTCCCCCCTCCCTACTCGCTGCTTTCAGATTGCTCATCCCCACAATCCCGTTCAACCCCTACATACTCCCTTATGCCATATCTCTCGAATCACCTTTCTCGTTGTGTCACCCGTGGCCTTCCACCCGTTTGCACTTGCCCTCCCCTTCTTTCCTCTCTCAATACTCCCTCTTTCTCTCCTCGCCTTACCCTCCGCATCCCTGTGCATATCCCCCTTGAATGCATCCCGTTTCGTCATTCCCTCCAATTCCGCCCCCCATCACTCTCGTTTCCCCCCTTGTCCTTCCCTCCGTTTCCCCACTGTCCCCCCCTCCCTATCCCCTCGTCCTTCCCTCCGTTTTCGCCACTGTTTCTCCCGCCTTTCAACCCTGTCCGGAAGACCGGTTCCCCCCTTGTCCCTCCCTCCCTTCCCCCGCTGACCTTCCCTCCGTTCCCCCCCCTCCCCCCCTCCCTCCCTTTCCCCCGTGTCCTCCCTTCCGGTTTTCCCTCTGTCTCACCATCCCTCTCCCCCGTGTCCCTCCCTCCGTGATCACCCATGTTTCTCCCTCCCTTGCCCTGCGTCCTTCCCTCCATTTCCCCCCTTACTCTGTGCCTCCTCCTACGCCTCAATCTGCGTTTCATCTCTCTGCCTTTCGCCGGCCCTGCCCGTCGGCACCTCCTCAGTCGTGCGCTCCCCACCACCCCCCCCATTCCCTGCCACCCTCTGCCCCCCATCGTTCTGCCCATCGCTCCGCACGACTGTGGCGGCACACATAGCCTGCACCAGAGCTCGCCCCTCGGCCCACCCTGGCTGTGGGGGTGACAGGGATGGACTCGCGCCAGCTCAGGCCTGGGCAGGCAGGGCAGGCGGGGCAGCAGCAGCAGCAGCAGCAGTATGCAACGCTGGTGCCAACGCGGCAGTTCCGTGCTCCCGTCCCACTCCCGTCCCACTCTCTCTCTTGTCGCTCACACTCGCTCCCATACCCTCTCCCCCCCCTTTCTGCAGGATTATCCCCACATAACTTACGGGACAGGACATGCATTTGCATCCCCACTACTCTCCATCTGTCCGTTGATTAGAAGAAGAGTGACAATGTGCACCAGATTAGCCGCACCATTTTTGTATTGCGACAATGACAGGGTTGGAGCAAACACATGGGTCCATCCATGGTGTAGAATGTAGTGTTGGTCATGTATTGGCCTATGATGCCACCGAAACACACAGCTCCGTGCACTGCGTGTTTTAGGGATGGTTGTCGTGGTTGTAAGTACGATGGCAGAGCTAGTAAGGGTTCTCTCTGCTTGTTGTGCATAGTTTAGTTTGTATACCCCCCAACATCATGTGCACCTGTATATGGCGAGACATATTTGGCTTGTCGATGGATACATCCGGAAGAACCTAAACTGAAGGGAATTGTACCGGAATTTCACAACTTCAACGCCGACACTTGCTTGACATACTGGCTACCTAGTAGCTTGAATGGAAAGGAAGAAAGGAAAATAAAGAGTGCTATAACCATAGCCATTTAGTCAGCATACTCAGGACCATGTAAAGGGTACGATTGCACCCGGATACTTTGGTCATTTGTCTAAGGGAAGAACGTCATAGCGCGGTCTTGAAGAGGTGACATCAGGGACGGGAGCAGGAGGCTCCGAACATACGATTACGGGTTGGATTTGCCTTGAGAGGCTAGGAGGACGTTGGTGAAACAATCCTGGCGACTGGGGGTGGGGCAGGGCAGAGAAGGTGGCAAGGTAGTAAGGGTACAGACGAAGAGGGCCTGGGTTTATATATGAGAAAAGCCCTGATATGTTGGGGGTGGGGCGCGACGGATTTGAACGGAAGGGGAGGGAGAGTGGCAATGGAAAAGGGGAAGAAGAGGAGGATGGCTGCGCATGAGTAGTGTGCAGTCTCAGAGAGAGATGGTAAGTTGGTAAGGTAATAGCAACGGGAATGAAGTGGCAAGATGTGGTAATGGAAGGGGGGACCTGGGGAGGCTTATGAAGGAACAGTAGACACTAAGCTAGAATGAACCCACATGTCTTGGGAGAAGATGATGAAACTGTCGCCGGTATATATGAGTGGACCAATACACCAAATGTAATAATCATTGGGGGAGTAAGGGTGGAAGGAGGATGGGTTGTAGGAGATGCCGGAAAACTTTAGTTATGAGAGTGGCGAACAATAGTGGTGCGACTCCTACCTCAATAGTTGGCTGATTGCGTCCCCACTGCCTTTACTGCCACCGATTGTGAACTTTTGAGCCAGCTGCCCCCCGCCCTCCCTGCGCCGGCCCACGCTGAAGGTGGTTGTGCTGGGGCAGGGAGGCAAATGAGTCTCTGAAGGTGGTTCCGCCCCTTGTAATCTCTGGCTGCTGCTGTTGAAGTTGTGGTTGTGCTGACGCCGCACCAATAGCACTCCAGTTCTGCATGGGCAAGGGGAATGACATGATAGTTGACAGAAAACAAGGGGGGCGACAAGGGTTAGGAAGTTATAAAGGGAGGGTCGGATGGGAAATGGCATGAAAGGGAAGGGAGGTGGATAAGGTGAGTGAGGGATTAAACAAGAATGTGGCATGGCTTTATGTTGGCTATAAGTGTGAGTTGCGTTGGCGGTGGGGTAAACTATTGTGTCTGCAATGAGATTGCTGCAAGGAGGTGGTGGGGGGTGGTGGTGGAATGGGGGGTGTAGGGTTTATTACCGATTTTGTAGCATGGGTTCCAACATCCGGCTTCGTGTGTTGACGTGGTATGCGGAATGGTAGTTTGGGTCCACGACGAACGCCGAGAGAGGTCCGACCACGCTTAGCGTGGGTGATTGGAGATGTCACCTACATAAAGAGTGCAAAGAATGATTCCATCTCATTATATGGAAGTTATGATGAGAGAGGAGAGTAGGCCTTTTGCGAATAAAGCGGGAAGCGACTTACTCAAACACCGTCGCGTCCGTGGTCGCGCCAGTGGGCGAGGGGGGTTTCCCCCCTCATGCAGTGGTGCAGGCGTGGCGGGCTCAAGACCCTCCCGGGCGCTGGTGGTGCTCCCAGTGACATCCGGACGAGTAGGAACCGTCTGCTCCCCATCCATTTCCCCATTCAATGTTTTGAGCCACGATTCCATTATGCCATCAAGCCATGACCAATCCATTGGCGCTAAGGTCCGATCCTTATTGCCACGCCGAATCCGTGTAATCTTTCGTTGACGCGTGCGATACCCTGTCACCAACCGATCCATGCAGTTGTTCCAGTGCAGAACAGCAAGCGCTATTCGTGCTTCGAAACTACCCCGGAAACGGATCCTCTTGGGAGCGTACTTGAGGATGACTGAATGAAAAGATTCGTTAATGGAACTAGACGCACCATGAACGAACATTTTCACCTTGTCCGGCCCGCACCGCTTTGCAAGCCAATCCTGCACCGCCTTGTGAGTATCCGAACCCTTCTCGTAAATTGTAGTCTCGATGCCCCATCTCTCCGTCACGCAGCGAGATGTACGCCCTGATTGGCCACACCCCGAGTGATCGCCCGCCCAGTGGTTGGCTGCAAGCCCCAGCTCGTCGGCCACCTGTTCCGGTGTCATAGCTTTCCCCTCCGCCAGCCGTGCAGCACACCTCATCATGATATAGTGAAAGTGTGAAGCAAAACGTGAAGCCACAGTCACCCACCCATCGTCCGCGTCCTGGTCATCACTGTCCCGTTTTCTTTTCCGACGCTTGGTCCAACGCAGTGGTGGTGTAGGTTCGGATGCGCATCCAGTTCTTTCATCGTCTCCATCACCAGGATCATCAACCGCTCCCACAAGTCCTGCAAAGTAACATTAAACAAGGGGTGCGCATTATCGTTAGGGGCGAACGAATGCAATAATATCCAACAATTGGATAATTGCGTAGCCGCGAACTCACTAGCATCGAGATCGGAAGAGGTCCAAGGGGTGCTTCCTCCGATAAATTCCGATTGCACACCAGCCGACATGTGTGCATGCACCACGAGAGAAGAGGCGAGTGACGATGGCCGGGTGCCGCGCGCGGGGTGTACATCATACTCCAAGAGCTGGTCGACATCGCTCCACTGGACCTCCACCATCCTTTCTCCGGATTCCGGTTCCTCGTCCACATGCCCATCTGTCTCCACCACCCTCGGACCTTGTGTTGAACTGGCATGTTGTGCATTTGGCGCATCTCCGTACCCCACTGGAACATCAACCACTGTGCCACTGCCCCCAACCCGTCGCACTTTCCGCAGCTCCAAATGCTTCCACTTTGCATCGTCTTGTGTCATCTTCACATAGGTGAAAGCCCCCATGGCTTTGCACACTGACTGCACCAAACTCTCCTTCAGTGTCGCTTTGCTCTCTTGAAGTAGCCCTTTGTTTTTCAGCCACTGCTTCAGTCCCTCAACCGTAGCAAGCCATAGATGTTCGATCCTACTAGCCTTCTCTAGCGGAACAGGTTCACGTACCGCGTCCTGTAATTCCTTCCGAAATAAGTTGTACAGCGTCTTCTTCACATGCCACGTGTCTACCTGATGGTTCAAGTTCCGCTCGGCAGCAGCTCCCTTGAATGTGGTTCCCTGATCTGAAACAATCCCCTTCACCTCAAAACCCTCCGCTGCTAAGGCATCAAATCCTTTGTCAAACGCGATTCTCTCCAACTTCACAGACGACTTGTCATGGACATGTTTCTGTGTCGTTGAGCAGTACAGTATTTTCCGTGTCACGCTATCCATAAAGGATACTGTACACCACTCCCCCTCTCTCACATGGGACCATCGTCCATCCACCATGACAAATTCCACAGCAATCCCGCGTTTCTGCATCTCAGTACGCACCTCCCGCATCGATTTATCTGCTTCGTTTATAATCGCACTCCATAAGCCCTTATCCTTGCTAAGATGCTTATAGAATGTCGCTTTGGCTGGCGAAGGGATGCCAAAGTTGCGACAAAACTC